TTACTTGATTTTAAATCTCAAAAGAGCAATTAGACATTCTGTTATTTTCCACATTAAAGATGTTATGAATTATATATTTATTACATATAGACAGTAAGAATATACACATATATGAGAAACAGTATATTATACAATGAATAAAGTTGTTTTAGTTATTTACTTTTAGTTTATAAATTTTATATTTATTAATATTAAGGCAAATATGAGTACTTTTCAATTAAAAGACAGTTTCCCAAATAGTGTAACTCTTGTGAGTTTCTCTATCTAAATCATCATATAAGCATTGTAAACAATATTTTTCTACAGTTACTAACTATTTGTAATAAGATGGCATGCTTTACTGATTTTTCGATGTTTTAATGAGGACAGATCTAGAACTAGTTAAAATTTTAAAGAGTACTATGTGACATGTCATTAGGCACTGTAATTATTTCTTAAAATTAGAACTTATGAATCTTTTATTTTTAAATTTGCAACAAAACTAAGTAACTATTATTAAAATCTTATTTCCTGCCAAGTTTTTGTAATGGAAAAAGTAAACAGCATAATGTGACTAAGTTCTAGAACATACTTTTCAATTAAAGTGAGAGGTTAGATAAGATTTTTCATAGAAATGTATTTTGTGAATATTTGAAAAATAAATGAGGAGGGCCAAGAGTTCGTATAGTAGGTAAGGTACCTGCCATGAATGTGGCAAACCGAGGTTTTGATTCCCAGCACAATATACAGTCCCACAAGCACTGCCAAATGTGATCCCTGACACTGCCAGATATGGCTCCAAAATAAATAAATAAATAAGAGAATAAATAAAATTTTAAATGTCAGCATCTTTTAAATTGAATTTCTTGTTTGCACTGCATAGAATACAATTCCTAAATATAATACAGTTCTTCATTTTCTAAATTCAGACTATTCTAATACAGACTCCATTGTGTAAATAAAGGGTGATTACTGGATGTTCATTTGTATTTCTACAGTCCAAAAACAACAAAAATTTGCATTGATTATTTATCTAGTTTACATAACAGTTATGATTAAGAACAGTTCTTAGTAACTAAACAGCTTGGAAACATATTTGTGCATCCTACTTTTATTTCATTTTTCTGTGTTATTGTTATTTGTATTGTTATTCTAGCATACACATAAAATTCAGTTATAATTGAGTATAAAAGATTGGCAGTTTGGATTTAAATATTAAAACTTTATATTTTTGTTTCATCTATAACTTGGTCAAGGTCCTCCCGTTGATTCATCGATTTTCTCGAGCGGACCCAGTAACGTCTTCATTGGAGATTTTGTTGTTACTGTGTTTGGCATATTGAATACATCACGAGTAGCTTGCCAGGCTCTGCCGTGCGGGTGAGATACTCTCGGTAGCTTGCTGGGCTCTCCGAGAGGGCCGGAGGAATCGAACTCGGGTCAGCCGTGTTGGCTGCGTGCAAGGCCCCGGTAGCTCGCCGTGATCGTTTCATCTATAAAGTAAATGTTATTTAAGAACATAACAATAAATTCAAGAGAATTGACCAATTCAGTTAAACCAATATTTTAATAAACCAAATTTTAATGTTAATAAATACTTTTATGATGTAATTCTAGGAAAATGGTGTTATGTATCAAATTTCCATGAGTGTCTGGTCACAGATAACTTGTAAAAATATGCTTAGTTGTACCCTAGTGCTAAAAGTTCCTCACTTCATTTTATTGAAACAGCATTCACTCTGTGCTGGGACATTCTTTTCTGTTTTATTTCCCTCTTTCTTTCTATCTTCCCTTATGACACATCATTTGAAAATTCAGTACAACCCTAAAACTAATTGATATTTTACATACATACATTTTTCTTCAGAGCCTCCCATATATTTATTTTTTAGTGTTAAACTAAATTACCACAAGAATTTGGTGACTTAAAATAGCTACACTGATTGTCTTATAGTTCTGTGGATTAGCTAGCTGTTTTCTTGGCAGGGTGCAAATACTAGCAAGTACTAACTTATTGCTCTTTGGGCAGAGGGGTCCCAAGTAGTGCTTGGAAACCTGTGACATCTTCCTGTTTATTATTCAGCAAACCGGGGAAGTGGTTCTAAATAAGGGCAGGAAGGACGGAAGGCAACTTCCCACCCACAGTGCTGGAGATAGTATCTTGCAAAGGTGGTGCTTCGACACCCCATATCTGAACCAGGGACTGATCTGGGGACTATAAGGTCCTAGAAATTGAATCAGGGGTTGACCACATGGAAGTTCCTTACCCCTGTACTCTCTCTCTTGTCCTAACCTACTGTCATTTTTATCTCTAGAATTCAACAGGAAATAATTCTATGTGAAGTTTTAGATTGTAGGAAAAACCATTTTATTTTTCTTTAAATCCAAAAGCTTTGGCCTGAAAACAATTCTCTCAGTTTATAACAAGTATTTGTATAACAAGTATTTGTATAACAAGTATTTGTATGCAACTGGAAAAAATTTTTATATGTTCAGACTGGAACTCACATAGGTTCACACTAAAACTTAACTGAGCCAAAGGAATGAAATTGCACTGGGTTTCCCATAGTCTGTAACAGTGATCTTCAACCACCTGTCAGTAGCTATAGAAAGGCTGAAAACCAGTGTTCTACACAGTGATTGTAACTGCCAGTCCATGGGCTAGTATGAAGAGAGAAACTTGTTTTCTGTTCATTAGACTGAAGCAAGTTAGACTTCAGGCTGACAGATGTTCAACATCTCTTCAAACACACACCAGTTTGTAACCTTGAACCACGAATTTTATTTTTCTCCACAGAGTTACCTACCTTATAAATCATGCTGTTTAATTAAGATAATGTAAATTTAAGTTACTTTATGATGCTTTATATCTTGAGTCAAAATGCTCATATTCAGCTATATGGAGTGTTCACTTCTACGGCAATACTCCTCTAACATATGTTTATAGTCATTTGTGTTCCAAATTCTCAATATAACTTAATCATGGGTGCTATTTTATCTCCATAGTTACGATTCAAAATGTGAGAAAGTGAGAGATACTATTTAGTTTACTCAAAGTCATATAACCAGTAAACTGACATGCTAATTTCAAACAAAGTCACGCTCTTAGACACTGATTTATACAGTAACACTCTTGCTAGCTTTTATTTTTCTTTATCCTTTATGTCCAATGATTGGATTCTCTTAAGGCCATCTCTGAGAATAAAATATATAAACAAAAGCTGAGTTTTTTTTTTTTACCAATTAGGGGAAAATAGTTATGAAGATCAGGTAAAAAGGAAAGCTCCTTTGCTATTTCAGATAAAAAACTAACACCACAGGATGATTAGTTTGCACTTAAAAATGTGTGTGATTAAATAAAGATCTTTGAACCGTAACAGGTATTTGTTGTTATGAGTTAAAAAATTTAAATATATATATATATATATATATATATATATATATATGTACCTGGATGAAATTTTAAAGCAAACTAGATATATTTACATGTGCAGTTTTACAAATAAACTTTATATGATTGACAATGAAGTTTAAAGTAAGGTGAGTGAAAAATGTACCTGAAACATAATTATTTTGTTTTTTTGTACATTGTGATGAACTATTCACAGGCAGTGTAATTGTAAGAATACTTGACAGACATCATAAACCACAGACCCTAAGAACAGCATGTCCTGCCAGAAGGATTCCGTCTATAATGTAGCTGGACAATCATCTGAAGTGAACACTGAACAATCATACATTTGTATTTGTGTGTCTGTCATTGTCTAGAAAATCAGAAGACTTGAGAAAACACTTGTTTGCATCCCCACTTGTGTTACCTAGTGGCAGAGGTTAAGCACTAGCATACATGTTCAGACAAACCGTATAGTCTCTCTGGAGAGATGGCATAAGGGTTAAGGCATTTTGCCTGGAACACATCTTACTCGGGCTCAATCTCCAGGCCTGCCATGATTCTCGGAGCCTTTCCAGAGCAACCCTCCACCCCCAAGTCAGCTCAAATCTGGAGGTAGCCTCTGAGCACTCCCTGCTGTGCTACCCTTAACCCAAAACAGAAAAGAAAAATAGATAAACCCAGAAAATACAGTTTATCACAGCATTCACCGTCTCTCAGTCCTGCTCTCTTTCTCTTTCTCTCTCTCTTGCCTCCTGCCCTCTCTCTTTACCTCCCCTCCCACACCACCATTTGTCTCCATACCACTTCAAGGCAGTAAGGTTAGAATTCTCAAATCCAAGTTTCCATGTGATGTTATACCACGAGCTACCATCAGAGTTATTTTGAGAACTTTATAGGAAAAATATCTTCGGTGACAAAGACACCAAGAACACCTTCCAATAAAATTTACCAGCTACCTCTAACTCATCCAATTCATTTACTTAGAGTGAGGAGGTGGGGATGGAGTGGTGGGGGGAAATGAAATTAAAATAGTAGTCCTCCAAATGCATCAAAAGACAGATGTGAGAAATATAGGTGGTATACAAACCAGCGTATCTGGCATAGTTAAGTATTACTTTCATCATCTTATAAAAAGCAATAAATATTTTCATGATGAATTCTTCTTACATAACTGTCTAAAACAAATATCCATTAGAATTTTCACATAAGATACTATTTTACCATATCAAATTATTTACTGCTTTATTCTATATATACCATGTAATTGCGGCATTCTACAGACAGGGGACATTGAGTAACTTAAATTGATTAACATTTGATTCACTCAGAGTGTCTCAATATACAAAAGGACAAGGTTCTGATATATCCAGTGTTAAATTCTCAGTGTACTCATTTGCAAAATGAAAAAAAACAGAAAAGTTATCTTTCCTTGGAGAATACTTGTCTGCAAATTCTTGTAGATAAAGAGTTCCCCTGCGTTAAACAAGTCTGTTACTTTGTTAAAGGATATCATGGCACAGGTAATTAACTATGAAGACATTAAAGCTGTTCTGTGCTGTGACAGTTGTTTGCTTATAACAGATTAATGAACTTGTCAAATTTTTTTTTCTTCTTCTTGTTATTTCAGATCAATCCTGAGTGGAATTTGATAGAAGATGTTACAGCAGTTTTGTCCTTGGAAATGCATAGCTTCGGGGATTGTTTTAGGCTCTCTCTTGGCAGTCTGCGTGGGCCAGTATGATGATGGTAAGGATGCTTTTAATCTGATCTCTAGCCAGGATGTTTGCTTGAAGTGAGAAATGGAACACCACCAAAATGAATACTGTTGACTTATAGCTCATTTTAAAAGTTAGTAGCACTGCACATTAAGGTCCTTTCATTGGAATAATCTCACAAAAGTGGCACCTGATGTACTTTATCCTCAGTGAGAACGGCAGCTGATTGAAAATACAGCTCGAGATCTATTTTTGAACATTAAATCATTACCGTGGGAGAAAGATTGAATGCTATAAAATAAGCATGAAGTTATATATGTTAAACCCTAAAGTCACAACAATAAACAATATTATTTCTAGTGTCTACTTTTGACACATTTTTTTCTTATAGATCTCTGTATCATTTATATTTATATAATATATGTCTATAAGCTTAACTCAAGACCATTGATTGTGTTTCTTTAAGGTTTAGTTGGGTATTGAACTATTTAAACTTCTATTTAAAAAATAAAATATTTAAATATCTTTTCTTAGGGCATGGAGAGATAGTACAGAGGGTAACACATTTCCCTTCAATGAAGCCAAACTAGGTTTGATTCCAAGCATTGGCTATGGTCCTCTGAGCCTGCCAGGAGTAAGCCCTGAGTTTAGAGCCAGGAGTAAGCTCTGAGCACAGCTGGATGTGAACAAAACAACAACAACAAAAAAAAAGGTCTCCTCAAAAAAAATCTTGTAAAAGATTTGCTGTTTAGCTTTTGTGAGGTTTTTCTTAGCTGTAGACCAGCACTTTAGAAACATTTGTGATCGAGCTATTTAGAGCCCATTTTTAGAATTTTTTTAGTACTGGAGGAATTTGTCTTTGAACGTGTTACAAGCAAAGTAAGTTTATGTGATATGCATGCTTTATACATATATACACTTTAAATATTTATATACATATAATACTTTAAATTTAATGGAAGAAAATACTGGACAATGTTCTCCACTCAGAAGTTTTCTATTCAAAGAAACCATATTTTTATATAATTACATTTTAGTCTATATTGAGTACAGAGATAAGTTGTCATTTCATCATCACGCAGCTCTTAATAGCTCCTGGTAATAGTAAATAATGCATTATTTAATGCTTAGCTTGGATAAATTGAATGATCTGAAGATGAGCAAGTTAATTCTACTTTATCATAATTGTGTTTAAATTATGCACATGTTGATACTTTCCCAACGCACCATAGTCAAAAACAATTATGTCTCTTTTCAATTTATAAAAAAGTCACAGTTGTAAGCATGTTCATAAAATCAAACACTTAGTTTTCTATAAAAAATTTTATTAGCAGTATACCTGAATTTAAGGTTTATTTTTGTTATTTATAAAAATTGTATATCTTCAATACAAACCTAAATTTTAAATGTAAAAGTCAACAAATTATGTATATACTTACATTGACACAAGCACATGTGTCATAAATGAAGCTTAGGAGAGCATGATACTATATTAAGTAATGCATTTTAATTATTTTCCCAAACCCCTTACTAGTGCATTTTAAATTATGTCCAAGTAATACATGACAAATAAATGTGTTGATTTATACATTTGCAGTTGCAAGCATCCAACTCAGGGCCGCTCACATTCAAGGCATGGGTTCTATCACTGATCCACATCCCCAGTATGTTTAAGATTACAGAGCATTTTCTTTGTACTCAGATGTTTTGCTTTCAGAGAGCAGAAAAATTTTCACTGACACTGCATTAGACACTCAAACCCCCTATACTTTGAACAATGCAAACTAGGTTATCAGTGGAAATTGCTCCTGACTTAACTTGTAATGCTATAAATTGGTTTCTTAATAAGCTCATTATAGCTCTTGATTGTTTTTGTAAAGGTACTCTTTAAGCCTCCAAAATAAAATTATCAGGTAGTTTGCCATCAAGTAGTCTACATTCTGAAACAGACTAGAAATCCACACACTAGAATTCAAGTGATAGTGTAGTGTTATGCCTGAAATACTGCTTTAGCGGACAACTCTTCAATTGCCATAGATAGAAATCATTCCCAGTTCCCTACTCTTAGTGGCTTAATTTTTAGGAAGATGGAGGGTTAGATATTGCATCAAGGTAGTGGTTTTTTTTTTTCGCATTTTAAAGAGTTCTTTAAAACTCTTTTAAAACAAAGTAGTGTTTTCTTTTAAAACAAAGTAGTGGTTTTTTTTTCACATTTTAAAGAGTTCTTCTTTAAGGGAGACATCCATGACATTGGCAACTATCGCCCGATCTGCCTATTGTCTGTCATCTACAAGTTCTTCACTCGAGTCATCCTACATAGCATTGGCAGAACACTAGATGAAGGACAACCATGCAGGCAAGCCGGGTTCTGCAAAGGATTCAGCACCATCGACCATATCCACACAATAACCAAACTCATTGAGGTTTCTCGGGAGTTCAAGATGCCACTCTGTTTAACGTTCATTGATTTAAAGAAGGCCTTTGATTCTGTTGAGAAGGAAGCGGTCATTGCAGCCCTAGGAAATCAGGGCATTCAAGCCCAATACATCAAGATCCTACGTGTGCTGTATTGCGGATTCACTACCAGGATCTCACCATTCTACAAAGAAGTGATCATTGATGTCAAGAGAGGGGTTCGGCAGGGTAATACCATTTCACCGAAACTCTTAAGTGCCATCCTCGAGAACATCATGTGATGACTGGAATGGGAAGGAATGGGAGTGAAGATAGATGGTCGGCAATTACACCACCTCCGCTTTGCTGATGACATTGTTTTAATAACACCAAACATCAGTCAAGCGGCACAAATGCTGGCCGACTTTGACCATGAGTGTGGAAAGGTAGGACTACAGCTGAATCTTACGAAGACAATGTTTATGAGAAACAACCTCGTTCCTGATGCCCCATTCTCTCTCAACTGAACGACCATCTCCGAATGCAACAGCTATGTGTACCTAGGTCGAGAAGTCAACATGACAAATGACCTGGCACCCGAGCTGCACAGGAGGAAGAGAGCGGCTTGGAACGCCTTCAAGAACTTCGAAGAAATAGCTAAGAGGATGAAGAACCTCCGGCTCCAGGCACATCTCTTTGATTCCACTGTTCTTCCTGCATTAACATATGCCTCAGAGACCTGGGCCCTATGCAAACAGGATGAGAATGCTATTCAGGTCTCCCAAAGAAGAATAGAAAGAGCTATGCTTGGAATATCACGTTTCACTCAAATGAGAGAAAAAATCCGGAGTTCCGACATCCATCGACGATCAAGAATCAGGGACGCTGTCTCCTTTGCCAAGGTGTCAAAAATCAGATGGGCTGGTCATGTAATGAAATTTAAAGACGACCGCTGGACTAGAGCTGTTACTGACTGGATTCCACGGGATGTCAAAAGACCACGTGGCCTCCCACCTATCAGATGGTCAGAATTCTTCGTCAAGATCTTGAACGATCGGTTTGAGCGATCAGATCCCAGAGCTAACAGATGCCATTGGGCTACACTAGCATGCGACAGGGACAAATGGAGACGTTACTGGTGCCCGCTCGAGCAAATCGCCGAGTAACGGGAAGTTAAGGGATTAAGTGAAAGAGTTCTTACTGTTAACTGCTCTCACCATTCTTTCCATACCTATATGCCCCCAAACTAAGACCACACTGTTTTCCTCTAGTACTCTAAGGACATTTTCTCTTATGTTCACAATTAGTGATTTTTGGCATCACATTTCCTCGGTAGCCTAATTACACATGATTAAAAATGTTTTTAATATTATTATATTCTAAATCCATCAATATTATGAGCCTTGCTAAGCAGGATTGAAATCAGAATTTGGCAAAGCATAGCTCAAGCAAAGCAACATCAGACAGGAACACTAAACAAGAAGCTGGAATATATTATATGAACTTCTTGATGAAGGTAAGTAGTTAGACTAAAGAACATGGTGATAGTTATAAACATAGAAGCATGAGAGAAAAAGTAAAAACCGAAACAGTACTTTTTCCATAGCACAGCGGTAGGGCATTCGCCTTACAAGCGGCCAACATGGCCGACCCGAGTTCGATTCCTCCGCCCCTCTCGGAGAGCCCGGCAAGCTACAGAGAGTATTTGATATGCCAAACACAGTAACAACAAAGTCTCCAATGGAGACGTTACTGGGCCCGCTCGAGGAAAATTTTGGGCTGGAGCGATAGCACAGCGGGTAGGGCATCTGCCTTGCACGCAGCCAACATGGCCGACCCGAGTTCGATTCCTCCGCCCCTCTCGGAGAGCCCGGCAAGCTACCGAGAGTATTCGATATACCAGACACAGTAACAACAAAGTCTCCAATGGAGACGTTACTGGGCCCGCTCAAGCAAATCGATGATCAACGGGAGGGCCTTTACTTTACTTTTTAACCTACTATTATAGTTGACAACTGATTTATCCACATAGGAATTTTAGATAGACAAAAATTTAAAAGAAAAATTTTAATTATTTCAAATATATTAGTCTGAAAATCTGCCTTTTCTTTCTTGTGGGGAAGGTAGTGGAGCTACACCGACAGTGCTCAGAGCTTAGTCCTGACTGTGTTCAGGGATCGCTCTTGGTAGGTTCAGGGGACCATATGAAGTGATAGGGACTGAACGCTGGTCTGCTTCATGCAATGCAAACACCCTAATCACTGTACTGTGGCTCCACCACCTACCTTTTTCTTAATTAAGAACATTTTCCATGCTTCTTCATGCATTTCATTACTTGAAATGCATTCATTTCTTGGTGTGGTAAATAATCTAAGTCTTACAAAGAGATTGTGTTTTCATTTCACTGATTTCATAAGTGAATGACAAATAGAAGGGATGGAGATGAAGACATGATAGTGGCTTGAGGCTTTATTGTAATTTTTCACTACTTTTTCTACATTTTCAAATTTTCCATTTTGAGGATAAGAAATTGCTAGAGTAACACAAGGAAAGTTTGCTTAATAGAAACATGTCCTGTAACATATGGGAAGTTTGAAAATACTATTTTTTTAAATGATCTTTATGCAAATATGCATA